TAGAGGCACAATCTTTCAAAACTTCAATCAGTACGCTATGGATATATCTGGAAAGCAGCCTACTGCAAGCAACTTGAGAGGCAGATTAAATGAAAGACCAATGAAAATTGGTTCAATGTACTTGTGTTACCCTGTAAAGATCCAAGCAACAGAAACAAATATTTCGTTGCTCTATTAGAGTGCTAAACATGATCGAAATGGCTTGCCAGGTTGGATAAGACGTGCAAACCGGTTTGGTTCCACCCTATTGAAACAACAACTACTGCTCGTTTACTGATTATAAATCACCCTCAACTCGGCAGACTAAGAGTAGCTGTAAAAGAAAGATGAGGTTCTAAGCCACGTTGTTGAAAATAATATACTATATGATAAATATTTAAAAGATAATAATGACAATAGGTAGTAAGTAAGATAAAAAAATAAAAAATAAACAAATTGATAACAGAAGTTTAATATGAAAGAAATGAAATCATTGCTATTGATTTACTTGGAAACTGCCTCTAGGCAGAAAAGGTAGAATCTAGGCTCCAAACAGCTGGATTTACCCCCAACACTTCCTCTAAACAGCTGCTTGACCCAATAGACAAAACTATTTAGGCCCATAACAATTGAATGAAAAGTAATTGAACTTGGTGTGGAGCCTGTTAAAGAAAAATGCACACAATTAGGTCCACATGCCTCTTTACATGTTAAGTGATAGATGTTCTCTGCTAACAATTTTTAATAATAAATTTGCCAATTATTGAAGTTTAGTCATTTTATTGGTTTCGGTTTCTGCTTTAAATTGTTCCGACATGGGCAGATATTTTCTCTCTATTAATATTATTCTTCTATTGATTTCTCTTTATATGTATAATGTAATTTGCATGAAATCTCTCTGCATCGGCTGCATCGCCTCCTATGTGGCCACAAAAACAGCTAATATATCTGCGTGTGAGTTTGCAGGTTTAAAAAAGAAAAATCACTTTGTAAATGTTTACATTTGCACCTCTTGGTACTTAGAATATGATTTACATATTGATAAATCTACACAGTCAAAATTGGGTTTTCATGCACTGCCTGTTTTATTGCATGGGCAAAAACATTTTGTTCTTTTTGGGTTTAAAAATCAAACTACAATTCTTTTTTTTTGATTAAGCTTTTTTGTTTTGCATAAAATAAATAACATACTTTGTTACAGTAGTGTTATCATTCAGTATGAATAGCACACTGATCCATACTTATGAAGATTAGCATCCGTTCCCCTGGTTCTCTGTGCAGCAGGTTTAGGCTGTGGGTCCCACAGGAGATCCTGGTCCCAGCACTAAAGTCTACAAGATGCCCTTGTTTGCATATCATGTCAGGGAGACATGAGAGAGGAAGACACAGAAGCTGTAGCTTGCTGTTTATGCTAACTGATGTGCTCTGTGAATAGTACAGGATGGATGGGACTCTCCATGTACGGTGGACAGGAACTGAAAAAAGGTCAAGAGAAATGGGATGGCCTGCCAATCAAAGCATACCACAAGGGTAAGACCTTAAGAATCACTGAAAAACACACTTGCAGTGCCACAAGTGGCCACCAAGGGGAGCTCTGGACCTTTAAGCATGTGCAAAGTATTCCAGTCCCCACTTTCCTCCCCTTTCTTTCTTGTATGTTGGCAGAGAGTCCCTATCACCTCACCTAATTCTGTCTGCTTCATTTTATCCGGCACAAAGCTGACAATTTCATAGGTTTTTATAGGGAAACATTGTGAATATACATACACGCCATAAAATAAAGGAGGAATGCTCAGAGGCTTTGCTTTTTGAGGTTGCTGAAAGATGGATATTCATGATGTTGTAAGACATTAGAGACCACATTAACCTCAGGTGACATCCAACACTCCATTCCTGCAAACTGCTGTTTCAGATGACATGCGGCTGGATCCGGCAGGCGAGTTGGATGCAAATTATGTATAATGTCAGGGACATTTTTCGGATGCTTATTTGCATGACAAACCATAAAGCAGACTGTGTAAACTACAGAAAATGCCTCTCAGACTGCATCATTACCTCATAAAAGTTTAATTTCATTAGAAATGAGAAAAATTATGGCAACAAAACAATACTTAATATGATCAAGTACATTTTGAGAGACTCAACTTTTAGTCAAAGCTATTTGTTTGATTAAGTACAGTTAAATAAAACTAATAATAATAATTGAAATTTATTTATCTCACATTTGAGAAATGTACCTCTGCATTTAACCCATCCCCTTGGGGAGCATTGGGCTGCCATCGTGCGGCACCTGGGGAGCAATTGGGGATTAAGGGTCCTGCTCAGGGACCCAGAGTGTCAGTCGTCGGGAGTGGGGCTCGAACTCAGAACCTCAGGATTCCAAGCTCTATGCCCGGACCACTAGGACGCCACTCCCACCATACAAGAAATACAACTCCAAAAATCATTTATTAAAACATTTAACATTTACTAAGAATGTTGAGTTAATCCAAGGAATTCTTTTTGTTTCTGTTTAAACTAAGATCTAATATGTTATTACCGTTAATTAATAGCAGACAACTTAAGCTTATACAGTAGTCAACTTGCTGTGGGAGACTTAAATGTTTTTGAGGCACAATTTAATGGGCAGAATTGGGCTTTAAATTTAATAAGCTCCCATTTGTCAGAATTTTTTGTTTTTATATTGTTGACCTTACTTATAAAATACAAATACATTCATTTGTGCAAGTTTCAGATGATACGATTCACACACAAATAAGTGAAGCGTAATTAATAAATAACTGTTTAGTAAATAAATCTTTTTTTTTTGTATAGGTACTTAGAATCTATTTTGTACATGTTTAGTTTAGCCCATTCACACTTCAGAAAACACATATTTGATGTGTAGAAAACCAGAATTACCAGGGAGATACAGTGGTAGACTTAATAGTGACAAATCTGAACTGCTGTCTTGAAAGCAAAAGACATTCCTAAAGCAGAAAATGTCATCATCATTACACATAGTTTTCAGGTGAGTTCAAAAACAGGTTATAATTTTTCATTGATTTGTTTGGGCAGTTATTTTTTATTCTTATGGTTTCATGTGTTTCATCCTTCCTTCATGCGTGATCTTCGTGGTTTACTAACTTGCAAGCTTTTATCGATCCGCCTCTTAGTAAATATCGGGTCAGAGGTGGTCGGCACCATTGATACTCAACTTCCTGTGTCCCTCTGAGCCGGTGGTGTGGGGTAAATCTAAAGAGCTCTTTAACACCAGGACTGCCAGTTAAATCAATTACAATGATCCACTGGAGACTTAAGCTGCCGTGTGATTTAACACTGTTCACCTGGACAACATGATATGGGTGGTTAATTCCTAGTCGAATCGTAGACTAAGTATCCCTATTTGATGTCTGCCGAGCCTCAACAGCTGCTTTTCCATTAAGATTTTACACACGATTCAAGCAAAGGTAGCAGCTGATTAGATCATGATTTGAAAGTGTAGTGACATAAATTTAAAATATTGTAACTGAAGCCTTCCCTTCAGATTTAAACCTTCAACATTAAAAGGTACGGGTAAATAATGGGACTGGTAGAGTCTCCTCTGTACTGTTTATTTCTCATTAGTAACCTAAACAATGTAGATCTGTGTTTGAGGTTCAAAGTAAAGCGGAAATATAGACTGGCAGGCAATGAGGAAGGCGCCCAAATAAAGAGTGTTGTGTTAGTGTGAGCGCTTGTGTTTCACATTTGCCTAATGATCATTATAGTGCAGTTGGTGGTAGGTGGATTGTCTCATGCTGTAAATCTTTAAAATCATGTCGGCTTTCCAAACTCATTAAGCCAGTCTCAATCTGCTGATCACACACAGCTCCACATTTGACCCCAGCTGTGTATGCGGGGGCTTTTTTTAACTTTTATGAGTGTTTGTTGGTTCCTTCGTTATTCCCTCTATTTTAGGGCAAGAGTGTTCAACTAGTTTGACTTTAAATGTACTTACAATTGCAATACCTTTGTGAAAATAGGAATAAAACATCAAAGAGTGACGGATGTGGATATGCCTTTTAAATATATCTGTGCTCTCATTCTTTTTTTTGAGTGTCTTTGTTTTCCTGTATTGAAGAAATCTTTGACTTGGATGCATTTTTTTGCCTGATAATGTTTCTACCTCTTCCCTAGGACAAAAAAACGAGCTGACCCACCTGCTTTTTGATAATGCATTCACATTAAGCCTTTTTTTTTGCCTTCTTGGCTGCTTAGAATTCCCGTTATTAGTACTGACAAGCCATTCATTCCAATTACATTTGAGAAAAAAAATGTGCAGAAGTAAGCATGGCAAGTCTAAGTGAAATTGATCGTATCTCACCGCTAGTATCTGCAGCTGCCGATTGATGACTCGGAGAATATGGAGGGGGTCTGGTTTTCAGAGGAAGCACTTTAAGTTTTGTCGTGCATTTGAAAACAAGCTGCCATGGATAAGTACACAACATTTCACGCATATCACGGAACATTTCACACGCCCAAACAAAGACAATCGTGTATGACTGCTCAAAAGGTTTGGGTAGCATGGGTTTCCCTGATAAATTACCCTGCATTTCAGTTGTGCATGTGAGTTTAATATGTGCATAAATAAAGGGCAGAACATTTTCTTTCAATTATTTCTTTTAAATAATCTAAAAATTGCTTTTAAGAGAATCAACTCGTCTTTGATTTTGTATTGATTCAACTGCGGCTCACATCCTGGTATTTTCATGTGTACTTTGATGTTTTAAAGCTTGTTTCCCTTTGAAACATTTTAATATCACAATGAGATGTATCTTTGGTCTTTTGGTCAAAACAAAGTAGCTACAAAAGAGATGATTAAACAAATTCTGTTCAGCTTTCACCTAAAAAGAGAAAATTTTGGTATTAAAGGAGAAAGAAGACAATAAGGAAGACAAAGTTAGTTCTTTTTTTAAAGGAACCAAACGATAATCCTGCTGCAACAAAAGAAGAGGTGGTAGACATAAGTGCCATCTTTACAGCAGCCCTGAACTGTTTACCTGTCGCAGGTTGCGGGTGACGCGCACATCATGCCAGGCGTTGTCGTTGAACTTGCCATTGACTGGCTCCACCAGGGCCTCAAAGGCCCCAGAGCCCAGGTTGATGACCAGCCAGACCGCGCCGCTCTTCAGGGAAAGGTTTACATAATCTGCTGACTTGCCAGTGTGTAGCATGAGCCCGTTGCGTTGGAGCGTTCGAAAGGAAAGCGTTATTTCATCCGTGCTGCTCTGGATGGGCGTCAGGGACAGATCGTAGCAGAAGAACTCGTTGCCCTTGAAGGTGGCTACAGACTCTTCCTTACCTTTGGAGAGAAGAGAGACAGAAAAAATACACATAAACCAAAAGTTTTTGACAAAAGTATTCATACTGTAACAGTTTGATGCCCTTAATTCACTTTAACACTTGCAGCGGATCCACATTAAAACAATACAAGAATCATATAAGAATAGAAACAGAATTTCATGTAACAAGTTAAAGAAAATGGCACAGAATCAGACTGAGAGCTCTGATAACTACTATGCTCCAGCTTTTAAACTAACTAGACTCCCTTCATGTGAGAGCTTCCTTAGTGAATCCATGAAACAAAAATTGGTGTGCCACAAGGCGTCTTATACGTTAACAACCGTTTCCTATTTACATGTACCTCTTGCTTTATGAACTATGCATTGATGTCAATTATGTTCCAACTCCCCACTACCCCCCAGTTTCTATTCATTTAAGAAATTACAAGAACTCATGCCTGCAAAATAGTTTTCTCTGTGGTCATGGTAATCTGTCTTGCTAGCAAAAATTCAACTAAAATGAAATCTCTAACAGCATCAAATTAAAATTGTCACATGACATTCAAAGGCAGTGCATTTTATGCATAAGACTGGCACAAGTTATGAAGGAAATCAAAATATCTTCTATGGGGATGTTTTTTTCAAGATTCTCACATGTACACACTGCAAAAACAATCTAGAAATAAGTAAAAATTTCTTAAATTAAGTGTATTCACCCTGGTAATTAGATAATATGCACTTGAAATAAGACAATGCAATTGTGTTTTCTTATTTTAAGTGTAATTGTCTTGTTCCATTGGCAAAAAGTTTCTTTTACCTCCTTAATTCAAGAACAAATGCACTTATTTTAAGAAAAATTACTTATATAGATTTAGATTTTTTGCAGTACATACATATGTATCATATTCCAAAATTATGCAATCTAATTTTATCTCATTAAAATGAACTCCCTGAATGTTCCTTTACAGGCCACATTTTTAACATTATCATGCAGTGTGAAGTAATAATGTGCCAATGTTTGTTTTCTATGTTGTCAGTCTACCTTTTCAAACAGCAAGTGATACACAGAATTTTTCTCTTTCAAAATGGGCAGATCGAAACATATCGTCGCTCATTTCCCATTGTCCATTCAATCTTTCCACATCACCCGCAACACACCAACTCATTACAATTTTTTTTTGTTTTGTTCTTTTTGAGCAGCCAATTTAGCACTGATTTAATGTCTTTAAAAATGATGCCATATGTGGAGGACACAGCACATCATTATGAACACATAAAACATTTTGCTGTGGGGAAAAATTATCTTCATCAGGGACACTGAAGCTAGTTAAAGTTAATAGGCAGATAGATCGGAGTTAAATATAGGGCAGTCATAAAGAGTAAATAAATAAAAAAGTCAGACGCTATGAAGATTTGAGATTGGGGCGGTGTTTGACCTTTAAACAGGACGACATGTGGCTGCAGTCCTTCCAAATTGACTTAGCTGCAGCTATTTTTAAAGACAAAGAGGCAAATTTAACTTTATATAAAGACTTTACGCAGATCAGTTTTGTATACGCAGAGAAAAAAACATTTGTTTTGTACAACTCTCATGACAATGCCATTATATATATATAGCCTATAAATAAAAAATGTATATATACATTTTTTGTATTATTTTTGTTAGTTTGTAAAGAAAAAGGGTTGGAAGTAACATATCATTGATATTTCATTTCACAATAATTTGTTTTGGTCCATAGAAAAATAATTATACCCCTAACAGTTTGTCATGAGAGCTGTACAAAACAAAATTTTTTTTTTATTTCTTTTTTTTTTATTTCTTATTTTTATTTTGTTTTTCATTGTGTACAATACATGTCGACTTGCACCTTAATCCTATTTATCTTGATATACTGTATATACCTGGATATACTGTATATATATATTGCTTATTCTTAATGCACCTTTTTCTTAATGCACCTTTGTTTGCACCTTCTGTAACTTCTATGCCAATATGTGACGAGTGAATTTCTCCGCTGTGAGATCAATAAAGCTCATCTAATCTAATCTAAACAGTTGGCTCAGTATTAAAGTCGTTGGGAATTCCGAATTCTCTTGAGTGGTGCCCGACTTTACACGAGTGAATAAAGTGAATGTGATTGGTCGTTTATCAAGAGGCGGGATTGTTGTGATGGAAGGATTAGTCTCCTCTGTTATACAAAGATTTACATTTAGAGGAGCAAAGTAGGGAACGGAATTGTTCTGGAAGAGGAAGCCAGGGCGGCAGAAGCTTGGTTTGGTGTAGAAGGCTTCCAGCCGTACATGTTTGAGCCCTTGCCTCACAACGCTGCCAGTTCTGTTAGCTCTATGCCTGCTGAAGACACAGACGTCCATCCCCGTGAACACTGGGACGGAACTCAACGGGAAAGGATTCTTATTTCAACCGTTGCGTATATTATCTGCAACATATGAATCAAGATGCAAGGACCGAAAAAATTTGATTAATGCATAATTAACTGGCCTGCATAAGATAACGAAAAAAAAACAAAAAGATTTTTTTAAATAGAATTTTTGTCAATTTTGCGACAATATCTTCTGTTAAAGAGTACATTAATATACATGTTTAAGCCAGAATGATTTGACATTTAAACATGACTTCCCTACGACTTTATCCCTACTGGCTCCTAATGCACTTCTAAATTTCTTCTTTTATGAAACTTGGCACTATTTATGAAACAAGCAACTGTAATAAAATCTGCTTTCTGCTTTTAAGCCTTCTTCATTTTATCACAGTACAACCACTCTCAGAAGCAACTGTGAAAAATTTACAGCAAAATGCAAATACTTGATAAGCAGTTAGAGTAGTACCAAGTTTTTTTTTTCAAGAAAGGAGACAATTAAACATGTATTTATTTTCCCTACAAATAATGATAAAGACATTAAACCATTCACTCACGCAGCATATCACTATAAATAGAAAATAATGTGAAATAATGGGCATGATCACCTGCAAATGAAAACCTGGTAAGCTGGTAAGCTTTGGATGGTAAAGGTGGTTACAGTAAGGGGTGGATGATGGGGTTAAGGGGAAGAAGATGTTGAAAGATTAAAAAAATATGTTGTCCACACAACGTGAGTATCCACACTTAACTGTAAAGAAGTATGTTTTTGAATAGAGAAGGTTTTGAGAACCTATTTAAAAAGGTGTTGACATCTTAGCTGATGCCTGCCAGCCTGTATAAAGCACATGGCCCCTTTCCACTGTGTTAAGCTTCACTCACTCACTACCAGTCAAAACAGACAGTTTGCACTCTGGATACATGTCAAGCATCAGTCTAACAGCATTTAGGGAGAACCTTGTGTGTGCAGATGTCATAAACGCACACCTGCAGCCGTCACCACACAGAGAGGGCTTTAAAAACGATCATAACAGTGAAAAGTCAATCTCACAAAAACTCAATTCAAGTGAGAAAAAGCGAGAAAAAAGTTCCTTTAGTTAAGCCTACATACTGTATAGGCACTTTATGTTTCCATTACCTCTACAGGCTATTTAATACTAAATAAATGTTTTGTTAATGTAAATGAGAAATATATATATATATATATATATATATATATATATATATATATATATATATATATATATATATATATATATATATATATATATATATATATACATATATATTATATATATATATATATATATATACATATATATATATATATATATATATATACATATTAATGTATATATGTATACATATATATAAATATGTATATATATATACATATATATATATATGTATATATGTATATATATATATATATATATATAAATAAACATAATTTTATATTCTATTGTTCCAAGATAATTCTTTTGACTAAGTTTCATGAAATGCATTTATTTGAAATAGCATTTTTTAGCATTCTATTTTCTTCATTTGAAGCCCAATACTAACGTTCGCTCTTCACCAATAACAAAACAATTTGCTAGAATACATTCAGATCACGAAAACTTCTGAGGACAGGCTTTACTCTGAATTAGGAGCTAAGATGGATTTCGATATGTCAGCATAGACATTAGCAAAGATATTAGTTTTGTGCTTAAAAGTGAATATTATTAGCAGAATGCTATTAAAAAAAATCTTAGTGGAAAAAAAACAACCAGAAGAAAAAAAACAAAACATTTTAATACAGTATATACATTCTCTTCAAAAAAATTAAACAATAGTGTGACAAAAAATTAAATGTAAAAAATAGAAATGTAAATTTCTTTAGAAAATACCGTGCGAAATAAGTAAAGTTACTATCAAAAGCTTTATTTGCTTAACATTTTCTTTATTTTTAATTTCTTATTTCTAAAACATGTTACTTCCTTGAAAGAATAATGGAATATAATTCTCTCCATACATTTTGGACCAGTTCTTCTATTTCCATAAAATACTCTAGTGTGGTGCATTACAATGATGTTCACATGTCATTAAGAGATAAACCAACAATTATGCTAGTTTCCAAAGAAAGCTGTCAACAAAATTCTGCCAGATAAAGCTATGACACTTCATTTAAATCTTTGGGCACAAAAAAGAAATACAGACAGAAGCAGAAAGTTGCAAGCACCAGCAGAATCCTCAATTACTGCAGCATCCAGGAATCATCCATCCTACTGCATGAGCAGTAATTTAAAGTGGCATTAGAGTTCCTGTGCTTCTTCGAAGCTGCAAACTTTTGATGCTCTGGGGAGGCCACAGAGACGACACAACCTTGGGTTATAAAGTTTCTAACTGAGATAGGAGGGCGACAGGGCAAACCAAAACTACCCAAGAAGACTGGGAGAGTTGGAACACCAAATCTAGTTTATTTTCAGGCTCTATTACCACAAAATGACTTTAAGAGTCCTGGGTGCATTACCCTGGGGAAACAGGCTGAGACAATTTAAGGAGGTGGTCTGTTTTTCAGATTGGAAGCCAAACCTCATGAGTGAATATGTTTACCACTGAAGCAATCACAGGTTAGAGGCCAAGTGGTGCAGAAAAGAATA